GTACCGACAAATGTGCAGACAAAACACCCATACACAAAATTTAAAAATATTAGAAACAAGTCTTTTAAAGATGTTCCCCTGCCGGGTACTGGGACATACACCTGTAATCCCAGCACTCAGGGCGGCAAAGGCAGGCTTATCTCTGTGAGTTCAAGGACAGCCTGATCTACAAAGTGAGGCCAGGACAGCCAAGGTTACACAGAGAAATCCTGTCTCAAAAAACAAACAAAACCCAAACCAAACCAAAAAGTTCCCCTGTATAACTTAAAACCCTCACACCTCATATTATTTATTTATTTTTTTAACTTCAGCAAAGACAGAAACCATTAAGGTTGTCTGTACAAAGGTGCTCTATGATCTAGTGACAGTATTTCCTTCTAGGCAACTGATCTCATTTTCCTATAAAAAGTTGCCTTTTCAATCGTGCCCCCTCTGCAGCTTTCTAAGAGCATAAAAGACATAAAAGAACTTCTTTCAAACTCGGTTTGGGATGTGAGGGTGACCTGGCTACGACATCTGTCACCGCACTGATTTGGCCGATCTGGCCGGCTGGGTGGGTGTCCCCTTCCTCCCTCACAGCTCCATGTGCGTCCTTCCCAAAGCTGCATGCTCCATGGACGAGGACAACCTTCCCCGAAGAGAGGACTGCTCTTCTCTCAAGGGTAGGCAGGTGGCTGCGCTCCCCTGCTAAAACCTCCAGACAATCTCAAAGTCCTACTTTGGATGCTGTGAGTCTGTGACACAGCTTGCCCGTGTCTCACCTGCATGTCTCACCTACTCAGCCATGTCTTGTTCCCAGTGTGCTGACAAGTCACTGGTTCACTAGCCTTTCTGCCTAGAGACTGGGAGTGGCTCCTCACTGGAGAGACACAGAGAAATCAAAGGATGGGAAGAAAGGAAACAGAGAGGCCTCTGTGCATGGGGACTTCCTCAGGGCATAGCAGGCAGGTAGCGCATGGGCAGGCAAGCACACTCCTTCCTTGTCTCTTGCCAAGCATCCCTGAAGTATTATACTTGGACTTCTGTGTTTTGATTTGTTTGCTTGACAGCATTTAACTTAAAGTGTTTTGTGGAACTGGTCAATAGTGACTATGTAGAATAAAACAGCACAGAAGGCATATTTGGTTATTTTGTTATCTTTGACAGAAATCATGTTGGTAGAGAGTTTATATATATCAAGGAACTGTACACAGATATTGAAAAACTATCTGACGAAGTCTACAGTACTTTCTGATGGTCACACTGTGGAGAGAGGGGTTGGGACTGGCATCTAGTGGACTGAGGCCAGATGCTGCTAAACGTGCTATAGAGCACAAAGCCCCAGATAGCAAACAATTGTCTGGTCCCAACTGTCATGCACAGTGAGGTTGAGAAAGCGCAATTTACAAATGATCCCATGTTCTTCCAAGTGCATTCTTTTTTCAGAAAACATTGGACACTGTCATCTCTCCTCTTTCAAACACTCAGTTGCTCAGCTGACAAGTTCACTTTCTTGTTCATGATGGAGGCAGAGATGAGGAATAGGAGGACAAGTAAAATTCTAACTGTGAGGTGCTAACAAGCTTAACCTTAGTCGACAGGCTGCTTCCAAAACTCTGTTATGTGGGGGTACTGTTTCCTAAATAATAGACTAGACATGTGTCTTGGAGTTACTGTTGCTATAATGAAACACCATTGTCTTGTCCAGCGGGAGTTCAACAGGGTCTTAAAGGGGGGTGTGTGTGTGAAAAGAATGGTATGGGACAGAGATTCGAAGAAGGACGCCAAGTCTGTTTGTCCGATCAAAGCCTCATTTATTAGAAATTTTTACCCAACTTATATAGGGAGAAGGCAGGAAAGGGGGAAGGTTAATTTACTGCTGCAAGAGATAGCAAGAGTACTTTCATGGCTTGAATATTGCACCTGCAAGATACTGTAAGGATGTTTTCTTAAGATATCTCACGGATGCTCTAAGACTAACAGACGGATGTCCTCACAAATCTATCACCCATGATTTCGGGTCTTAGGTAACTCTTCAACTAAATAGCTTTAGGTCTCCACTAAATGACCTTTGCTCACTATTTGGCTTTGGCTTCAGTAAATAGCTTTGGCTCCTGGCACACCATGACCAAAGCAATTTAGGGAGGAAAGATTTTATTCAGTTTACACTTCCATATCAGTGTTCATCACTGAAGGAAGTCAGGAGAAAAACTCACACAGGACAGGGACTTAGAGGCAAAGCTGCTTCAGGAGCCACAGAGAGGTGCTGCTTACTGGCTTGCTCCTCATGTCTTGCTCAGTCTGTTTTCTTTTAGAACCCAGGGCCACCATTCCTGGAGTGACCCTCCACCCACAATCAGGCCAGGCCCACCCCTACCCCATCAAAAAGCCCAGTCTTATGGAGGGATTTTCTCTATTGAAGCTTCCTCCTCTCCATTGACTCTATCTTGTGTCAGGCTGACATAAAACTAGCTAGCATACCATGTGAAAGCCTTCAAAGCTACAGTTACGGCAATAAAGTCAGCCAAAAGCAGGAGCCCATGACAGTGTGGGAAACAGTGTGAGTTAGCTACATGAAGACCAGGATCAGTGACAGTGTGACCTCTGAAGTGCCTTGAGAAGAAATTCTTGGGCTGGAGAGATGCCTTAGAAGTTAAGAGCACTGGTTGTTCTTCCAGAGGTCCTGAGTTCAATTCCCAGCAACCACATGGTGGCTCACAACCATCTATAATGAGGTCTGATGCCCTCTTCTGGTATGCAGGTGTACATGCAGACAGAACATTGCATACATAATAAATAAATAAATCTTAAGAAAAGAAATTCTGTTTAGAAATCAAAGTTCTCCTGAGAGTTTGCCCCATCAACCCCATTCCCATCCTTGACTTAACTGAAGAAGTCAGAAAGAGATGCTCAGCCAGTAAAGGAGATTACACCTGAGTTTGGACCTACCTAAAAGAGGAAAGAGAAAAACTAACTCCACAAAGTTGTCCTGAGACCTTCACAAGTACACTGTAGCACAGCCTGTGCACACGCAGACATACACACACTTAAAAAAAAAAAAACACTAGAATGTGAAAATATTTAAATATAGGTAACCTTTTTCTTTAAAGGACCAGCTTCCTAAGAATAGCAGTCCTCAGGAATTGTCTTCACAGTGCCAAGCTCATAGCCAGAAACACATATAAAAATATGACTAAGAGCTGCAGTGATGGCTCAGCTGGGTTCTATTCTTGGCACCATCACGGCAGCTTACAACCACCTATAACTCTAGTTCCAAAGGATCTGGCACCCTTTTCTGGGTACTGAATGCACATGGTACACATATATGCACGCAAAATTTCACCCATACACAGACTATTCAAATAAAAAATTTATAATATATTACGCCACACGCAGTGACACATACCTATAATCCCAGCACTTAGGGAGGCAGACTTGGTAGCTCATGACTACAGTAAGTACTGTGGCGGCTGAGGCACAAAGACTGGGTAAGTTTGAAGCCACCCTGAGCTGCAGTGTGAGACTCTCTCAACAAAATAAAAACTGAACTGATGGGTTTGCTGGTGTTTCTGCTGCCACCTATCAAGTTAAATCTGTAACAAATTCCAGTGAGCCTACCCAAAGAAGGTCTTCATGCTGGCTAGTTTCTTTCTGAGTTATAATTGTTTATAACTTTACTATTAGATTTCAAGAACCCACAAATTATATAGGATGTCTTATTTATTTTTAGTAGGTAATCAAAAAACAGTTATTGAATTAAGCCACTGTAGGTGTTATATGACCCTTGATCAAAAATTAAAACAAAAGCTAGGCAGTGGTGGTGCACACCTTCAATCCCAGCACTTAGGAGGCAAAAGCAGGTGAATCAGAGTTGGAGGCCAGCCTGTTCTCCAGGATGAGCTCAAGGACAGTCAAGGCTACACAGAAAAAGAAAATAATAATAATAATAAATAAAAATAAAGTAAGACCAGTTCAAGGATCTTTCTTGAGACCTTCTCTTCCAATATCCAGAAACCACTAAAATCATATGAAGCAGAGGAGAGAAACAAGTTACATTTTGTTGTTGTTAAGAATAGAGAACCGGGCAGGAGAGATGGCTCAGTGGTTAAGAGCGCCGACTGCTCTTCCAAAGGACCCAGGTTCAATTCTCAACACCCACATGACAGCTCACAACTGTAACAGATCTGACACCTTTACCCTAATGCACATTAAAAAAAAAAAAAAAAAAAAGAATAGAGAACCATGGGCTGGAGAGATGGCTCAGAGGTTAAGAGCACTGGCTGCTCTTCCAGAGGTCCTGAGTTCAATTCCCAGCAACCACATGGTGGCTCACAACCATCTATAATGAAATCTGATGCCCTCTTCTGTCGTGCAGGTGTACATGCAAAACACAACACTGTATACATAATAAATAAATAAATCTTAAAAAAAAAAAAAAAGAATAGAGAACCAGGCACTGGTGGCACATGCCTTTATTCCCAGCACTCAGGAGGCAGAGGCAGGTAGAAGTCTGAGGTCCAAGGCTAGCATGGTCTACAGAGTGAGTTCCAGGACAGCCAGGGCTACACAGAGAAACCCTGTCTTGAAAAAACAAACAAAACAAAATGCCAAAATTCTAAACTTCAGTAGGAGTCTGACCTTTGCCGTATATAAATGGCAAAGGTTAGTGCGTGTGTCCATGGATATTGTGACAGACATCCAAGAATGGAGCCATCTTTGAATTAGTAGAACAAAGTTAGTCTAGTTTCCCCCAGATGTCCAGTCTTAAAATACTATTCTACTTTTCTTGTTGAGGCCAACTTGCAGCATGTGACATTTAGAAAGCCAGCACACAGGCAGAATATTTACCACACCTTCTGCAGTTCTAGGTATCAGACTAGATGATAAGAAAGATACCTATCTGGATGTTGGCTTCTTCCAAGGTAAAAATGCTCGTGCTATCCTATGCAGTTATACTCTTGGCCTTGCTTGATATTCACCATAAGAAGTGATCACATGGCAGAAGGGAAGCAGTGTTTCAAGATCAAATGCAAACATCATAATAGAAGCGTGGTTTATTGCGGAGAATCTTATACTCAGTATTTATTTATATTAATTACGCTAACCCTGTTTGCCAGCAATGCCTGTAAAATGTTGTACAAGCGCCCTCAGCTGGTTAAAATATAGAACTACCAAAAAACATGTTCCATTAAGTTGATGGAATCTTCAGAAATATCTGAAACTCCAGCCTGGGATCGAAGAATGGACATGATGTCATTAAAGATATTTTGAAAACCATTCTGTAAACAGACATTTGCCATTTCTTGCCATTTTTCTAAGGGGCAAAATATATCACTCATCACAAGATGCTCTATTACATCTGGAAAAAAAAATACACAGGAATTATACTACAGAATTTCCTCTTAACTTGGTAATCCACACTTAGCAATCCTTCCTTCAAAAATGTCTTGGTCCTGTAAGTTTCATGCTATGACAAGTGCAGTGTTTAGCTCCGGGTTTTGTAAGTTCTTGAACGTTAATTCCTTCTTCTCCTTTATCATTAAGCATGAAATGTGTCCGCTCCACCCTCTAATGTGACTCCCCTTCTGCACTCCCCATTCTCGTCCTGTATGTAAGGTGGGTGCTGTTGAAGCTGTAAGGCACAAGCTCAGAAAGCAAAGCGCGTGGGCCCTTTTTACAGTCCCGGGCACTATAGAAACAGTGAGTACTGGAGCTTTCATGAGCTTCATAAATGTCTTAGTGGTGCTGCCCGAGGGTTTAAGAATCTCATGGCAAACCTTAATCCTTTCTCTAAATAGAGACTTCTTAATCATGTAGTATCTATAACCAATACTTTCCTAAAAGAAATAAAATAGGTTTGCTTTTTGAGGAAATCTCGTCTGATTTACTTCTGAAGGAAAGCTGATAGTGACTCTCGTTGGTGTTTACCAATGTTTACTCGCTTTGTTCTGAGGGTGTGAGGCTGCAGCTGTCAGTGCGTATGTGTGCACCTGACCGAGAGCCCTGAGAACTCCCAACCTTCTATTTTCAGGACGGGGTCTCCTAGTGGCCTGAAGCTTGCAAGGGACTACAGCAGATGAAGCCCCCTGAACCTGCTTGTCTCTGTCTCCCCAGTGCTGGGATTACAAATGTGTACTGCCTGACTTTTTACGTGTGTTCCAGAAGCTGAATACTGAGGGAGATGGAGCTCCCTCCCACTTCAGGAGTCATCAGCTTATGGAACTAATGTCTAACCTATCACCTGCATTACTTAGAAAACTTTGTTAGAGAAGAGTTATCTTTTGATTACTATTATCAATACTATTTTATTTTGAATACAATTGTTATTTTCCTATTAAATAGTTTGGTTACTACCTGTAATGATAAATTCAGAGTTGAATTATCTTCCTATCTCTGAGTTTGAGGCCAGCCTGGTCTACAGAGCGAGTTCCAGGAGAGCCAGGGCTACAAAGACAAACCCTGTCTCAAAAAAAGAAAAAGAAAATTATCTTCCTCAATATATTTTCAGGTAATATACTACTCTTTCTTTGACCTTTGGCAATAATTTGAAAAGTTATGTGCTTAAGCTTCTAGATTAAATTAATAAAAAGGAGAAAATGTGAAATTTGATTAGCTCCTCAACTTCACTGCAGTTAAGATAGAGTATCATATGAAAATCTGCATATAATAGATCTGAAATTTAAATTATATAATCTTTATAGCTAATTAATATTTAATATATATAAGGTTATTGTTAAATTATGTGGTAAATTACATTAAACTTTCATAAGGGTATTACCTCTTACAATGATTATAGCATTCTCATTGAGCATAGTAAAATTTTTTCATTCTAATTCCTTCAACAAACATATCCCATTGCCAACAGATTTACTAATATGATGATTTCCACACTTACAAACTTCTAATGTTAACTCTGGAAAATTTGAGTTAACTTTAATCATCTTGAACTTCTTCATAAAGAACTCATTACTATCTTTTACAACATCACTTGAGTTTACTTACCTACGGTAGCATATTTTACTGAAAATACCTCTTGCCTTTGAGGAGAATAAACTTTTGTCAGACCTTGAAATCAAGTTACTAATATGGCTTAAGAAAATTTAAAACTATGTACTCACTCTGCTGGCCTACTGTATACTCATCCTGTTTTAAGTTTAACCTGCCTTTAAGAAAGCAAGGTAGATGGGAGTGTGGTGCATACCTTTAGTCCCAGCACTCTGGGAGGCAGAGGCAGGTGGGTTGCTGTGAGTTCAAGGTCAGCTTGCTCTACAAAGCCAAGGCTACACAGAGAAACCCTGTCTAAAAGAAAAAGAAAAAAATGTAACCGACCTTACCATGCCTTGGAATTCCCACTCAATCACCTTTTACAACTGACACTAAATGTGTAGTTTTAATCTTAAACTATATACTCTTCTATACCTCTGACCAAAAATGTGTGTATATGCATATAATTATTTGTTGAAAACAGCAAATAGGTTGGAAGTAACCTTAAACAAACAAACAACCCGTAAATGTTGGAAGCAACGTTTGCATACAGATGGATAACATCTGACTGTGGTCTAGTGCTGTTCTGGGTCAGAACACAACTTCTTCCCTTGAAAAGCTGTTAAAGGTTTCTGTAGAAACGTGTTCATTACTCTCCTATACTATACTGTGGTGTTCAACACATACAAAGCAAAGCCCTTTGTGAAGCAACAAGGAGAGACAGATCACACACACACACACACACACACAACAGACAGAGGACAAGCATAGACAACAAAGTACAGACAGATGGCACACAGGGACAGCGGTACCTTGGGCTCACTCTTGGTCTAACTCCAAGTGGAAGCCTCTTTTTCATTCGTAAGTGCGTTATGGACACACTTACCTTTCCCGCCTTTACTGATTTCTTGAATTAGCTGAATGCCGACGTTTTCCATATCCACAGAGAACAGATGAAGCACAGCAAGCCCAAAAGATAAAAATGGTGGTTTTCCATCCTTTTCTTGAATAAGACATTTAATCAACTCAATTTTGGGACATGCTGTGATTAGCTCTGTCAGGTCATCTGAGAGTTAAAGTGAAAAACCAAATCTCACCATCCTAATGTGACAAATCAACTTGCTCTGTCTATAAACAGCTATGTATACACCTGCCAAACATACTTCTAAATCTCCCTTTGATTCCACTCTAAACTCAACAGTATTCTCTTTGACTTTAAGTGAAATAAGAAAAAAGGAAGGACCTCTCAGAACAAAGAGTATCACACAATACATACTAAATACTCCTCAGGGAAAGAAATGTGTTATGATAAACAGACAGGGATTTCAAGCATAACAGACACGAATTCTAAGCATAGCCCACCAGTCACTTCATCTCTGTAACTCTGTTTTCATACCTGAAAAGTACTGCAATTGGAAGGATGTATAAGGTTTCATCTAACACGAGGTTGGGTTTATCTTGTCTGTTTTAAAGTACTAAATCAACACAGCTTCTTTTTAAAACTTATTTATGTATGTGTGTGTGGATGTGGATGTGTGCACTGGTGCAGGTGAGGCCAGCAGAAAAGTGAGAGTTGCTTCTCTCCTTTCACCACCCTAGGGGTTGACCTCAGATCATCACATTAGAGGCAGGTACAGCAACTACTATAACTATGTCCTAGTTGCCAGCACATACCTATTCTCCATTACTTATCTTTGGGAGGCAATGTGCCTGTGACAGCAGAGGTCACCTGTAGGACTCAGTTCTCCCTTTCCTCATCAAGTTCAGGCCAGCAGGCTTGCTCACTTCTTACAGTGCCATCTTGTTCTTACAGAGTCTTGTGCCAACAGTTTACCATTGTTTAAACAGAAAAGTGAGTTCATATGCTTTAATATATTATCTAAACACTGCAACTACATAAAACTACAATTGTGGGTTTTTTTTCCTCTCTCTTTTTTTTCTTTCTTTCTTTCCTTTCTTTCTGGGGGTGTGTTTGAGATGGGGTGTCTCTGTGTAGCCCTGGCTGTCCTGGAACATGCTCTATGGCCTTGAAGTTGGTGATCTGCCTGCCTCTACCTCCTGAGTGCTGGGATTAAAGGCATGCACCAGCACCGCCCAGCTTTTTTTTTTTTTTCAACATAAGACATACCTTTCTAGGCCACAAAGAGATACATTTCAGAATAATTTCTGATTCTTTCGTGCACTATTATAACTATAGTTTGTGTCTAAAAGGCAGTACAGGGTAGTCTAGTGTTTGCTATACAAATGTCATGTGTGCCAGGGGCTAACAAACAGCAGCTAACTGACTTTGCTACTCGCAATTAGTGATTGACTAGAATTCTCACATTACAAGTAAGAAAATAGGCCTAGACATGTTCATTTTCTCTGAGTTGTGCATGATATAATATACAATGGTCTATCTGGTCCCCAGTATTCACACCTTTTCCCCAAGTGCTGCCCTCCATAATTATACATATATATGAACATTATGTGTGCCTGCATGTACATATATATGAACATATGTTCAAACATATATAGAAAGGAAAAACAGGAGACAGGGAGAAGGAAGTGCAATCTATTCTATACAAATTAAAATAAACAATAAAGCAAACAAACAAGAAAATATTTTTTACAAAACTAACACGGTTATGGCTTGAATTTTAATATCTAAAATTAACCAATCTCTATTATACTCAATAGCTACTCAAACTTCTATAAATTGATTTCTTTGAGAATACTATCTGAGGGAGTTAGTATCGAATTAGTGATTTTAAATCTGACCTATTCTCTGTGTAATACTCTTCAGAACCTGTTATCCTACTTGCCAGTGATGTCTGAATCTTCGTATCTCCCATGTGTTGCCCTAATAAACCTGTCAGCTTTTTATTTGCTTCATTCACAAATGCCTAGAACAATGGTTCTCAAAAGACTGTCTATGGTCTACAATGTCAAAGCTCCTCAGTTACTTTTTGCTCTCATTTTCTTACAAATACACGGAGGTATTGTTCAGAGATTACACATATGATATATTACAACAAACTGAGTATAAATTCAGATACAAGGAGACATCTATTTTTCAAGAATTTGTGGGGGACTAGACAACATTTCCCCGCTCCTCCTAAGGTCTCAGTGACAAACCAAAGCTCAATTCCCCCAAAGTTCACCCTGAAGAACCCATGAGTTTATTAAGCTTACTTATAGAGCATGCTGAGGGGTTTCTGGCTGGAGTGTGGGTGACCTCGAAGTGCCCACATGGGAAAGTTTTCACCAGGCATGAGTGATGGTTTTGCCATACATAGAGCCCATGGTGTCTATGGAGTCTAGATGGAGTGGCTTTCCCCTAGTCTTCTCCAGCCCATGAATCAGCGGTTCTCAACCTGTCCACAACCCTGCCATGCCAGCCTGCTCTGTACTGTGTAACTACTGGCCAGTGTGCCTGTGCTCCTCAGCTTCTCTGGGAAAACACGCCCTGTTGCTGGCTATAATGCAGATGTTATAACAAGAGGCACTTCAGACTCAAGAGAAGGACTGCGTGACATCATGCACATAAGCAGCTACTACTGCTCTAACAGTGACGTCAGCTGTGCTGCTGTCATCAGTGAGTGAGAACACTCTTTAGTTCTTTTGTATATTTACTTATTTGTTGGTTTTTTGTAACTTCTTAAAATAGACAAACAGCCTAAAAATAGAGATTGGCTTTCGCCTGAGGAATGTGGGCTGTGAGGACTGTGGTTCCTTAAGCTCACTCTGGTTGAAATTCACAATAAGACATCACTGAACTAAAGTTAGATGACTATTCACAGTTCTCTCAGATCACATTCCATTATAAGCCAGGTAGTCAAAATTCTGAAATAAGAATTATTTCACTAATACTTCATTTATAATTTTAATACATATATGTAGTATATATTATATATGAAAAATTCAGGAATTTAAAAGAATTCTTTATGTAGTATGGTATACCATATGAAGTAAATTTGTCTTTAATGATACATATTTCTAGTAACGGCCACATATTAAATGTTTCCTTTGATAAATGCATAATACATATCATTAAATTCAACTACCTCTTATTCTCATAAAAATTTACAATAGAACTCTATTACTATGCATGAAAATACTATACAAGCTAAGTGTCAGCCAATGCCAGTTCCTATGAGTGGTGCAGAGTTAAACTGTATATAAGCAGGCTTTTACTTACCAAAGGTGAAGTCCTTGAACTGCTGTATGTGTTCCACAGCCTCATGAATCTGACCCTGTTTACACAGGCAAAGAAGAACTTTCTTGTATAGACCACATTTGTTGTAGATAATCTGAGCTAAAGCCAAGCACTTGGGCTTGTAGTATGGGTTCTGCTCCCCATAAGCAAAAATAACATCACCAGCCTTCTCAGAAAATGTCAGCCTGAAGCAAGCAGATCATTAAACCACATGTCAGAATTCCTGATGAGTGGCTGAGATTTTTCAGAAATAACTGAAAATTCAGGACTGTAAAAATGGATTATAAAGAACCTATAGGAACTCTAAGTCAATAAGTAATTGATGATGTGGTAGAAATTAGATACATTTGAGATTGGCAAAACCAAAACCAACCAGCACTTACTCTTTTGGGGAAATAATTTTGGTAAAATTGAGATCAAATTTCTATAAGCACAACTTACTCTCCTGCAAAGACTGACAAAATTTAAATTGCCAAATAAACTAAGTCTGCATGAAACTGGGGTTCTCAATGATCTCCTAAGTTACCTAAAATCTGCTTAGATTCTGAAGAATATAATAATTTTTTAGACATCGGCAAAAGATAGCGGGAATAATCTCAGCCCATAATTAGATCTCGTAAGCATTTGCACTAAAAGGAAAACCCCATCCCTCAATCATAGCCTCTGCTTTCCTCAAGTTCTCTTGTGTGCTCCCTGGCCTACTTCTCCACCCGTGTAAAGGGTGACCAACAGCTACCACAACCAGTGGATCTTAGGGAGTCAGCGCAAGGCAGGAACAGCCCGGGGATGGGGACCTCAGAAGGCAGTGAATGCTTGGGAAACAGGCTTCAGTAAGACAGCTTAATCGGGGGAATCAATGGCTATTTAAACCTCTGGAAAGCAGGTAGAGGCTTTTGGGGTGAGCATACATCCCTGGCTAGGACATGACCTTGTAAGGAAAGAGCAAGTTTTAACTTTGGTGCCAGGCTACATGGCCACCTCAAGGGTAGTCAGGAAGGCTATGTGCACTGGGGCAGGCAGGCTGAGGGCAGGGTGGGAGCTATCCTCCCCCGAGTCTCAAGGTGAGATTTGGGGGTCTGGACACGCCTCAACCTCCCTCTTGCTCCAAGCAGGCTCCCCCAGCAGCACAGCTCCCAAGTCCCATCCCCTAGCACCAGCTCTAAATGTGACAGCACCTGTCAGTTTTAGTTTTTTATAGATAATAAGAAGCAAAGTGTGTGAAGGGGGATACAGCTATATCTATTAGGGGAAATCGAGGAAGCAGTTCTTTTCAAACAGCTGAACTGAATCTCTTCATTTGCTACCATATATAAATGTATGTGCTTACATACGACAGTGAACCAACCATCTGTACTACTGCAGGAATGCCACTCAGACATTCTCAGCAGAAATAAAGGAACAATAGGGCATGATCAGAAAAATCACTTCTATTTAGTGCTTATATGAAACTGTGTTTTAGTTACCTTTTTAATTAATGGCTGCAATATAATAGTGGTATTTGTATACTTCTAATAAAATGACAGTAGCAGTAAAACAAAATCCTGGTACCTCAAACAAATGTCTCAGAGTTGAACACGCAGTAAACTGATACTCTGTTTACTGAGGTGGATAGTTGGAGAGGTAGTTCAAAACTCAGAAGGCTCAAGGTTTCTTTATAAATCAGCCAAGTTGACAGATGAATGTCTGGGCCCTTCCCTCAAGCTGGATAGTGCAGCTAATTGCTTTAGTATGTCCTTGCTTGGCTCCTTCCCGTTCCCTGTGTGGCTGTACTCAGTTTACTAGGAAGCCTGTCCCCATCTCAGCCTCTGGGTCTAGACAAGAGAGCCTACACACACTAGCATAAATCTGCAGATTGTAGGAAATGTGGCTTCAAGAAGCTGCCAAGTGTTCTTCAATCAACCATGGCAGATGTCCTTCCTCGGGATGTATTATCTCTTAGATTGCTCTGCATGTGCCACAGCCTGTCTATAATTGTATTCCTTGCCTTACTACTAACTCTCTGTGTCCATGTCACTCAATTTCCACCTGCCATTGGTGTGCCTTACTTTATCTTGTGAACTTCAGTGACTTGACTTTTAACTTGAGCTCTTTGTGACTGGGCCTTCATAGACACTTTATAATTAATTTCAATGGGGAACTGAAGTAAATCCTAAAATATAGTAGTTATAGCAAAACACTAGCTAGATATAGTGTCACAAGCCTCTAATCCCAGGAGACTGAGATAGAGGGATTAGACCTTGAGACCTGCTCAGCCACACTGAGAAACTAGTGCACAAACTACAACAACAAGCTATTATATTACGAAAACAACCATATAAACATGTTGAATTAAGTTGGCAGTTTAATTTCGCTTACTTTTGCTGGGTGACCCAGTGGGTAACTAAATCAAGCCGTTTTTCAGACAGTCCGCACTTGATTCCCTCCAGGGTTAGGTCAGCACTGATAGGTCGTTTGAAAGCATGACTGGTACTAAATATAGCCTCAAAAAACAAGAGTAATGGCAAAGGCTTTCCTTTAATCTTTCCAATAGCTGTGAAAAGAAAAAGAGAATGAGAAGTTTCAGCCAAATACATTGAGAATTAGTTTGCTTTTTCTTATTTCATATTACTACTTTAATTTCTTTACATTTTCTAAACCTTTTGCAATAGATGCAGAATAAATTCTACATTGTTTTATAATAGTATCACTGTGTAGACTATATGAAGATGGACACAGGGACTGCAGTGATTTGTCTGCAAGCCAAAGTATGCAGCAGCTAAGATATCTCTGAGTTAACGGAAGGCAATGCATGCTAGTAATGTAGACAACTATTCATGACTAAAGATGTTACAGACTATAGAGGAGAACCTACTATAGCGATTTCCATTTCTAACTGTGTAACAAATGCTTATACATACAGATTAAGTGTAGCTCTCGCCCCTCATCAAAGAAGCTTCATTTTTCAGGCAGATAGAGACCGTTACAGAGATACATAACTGGTCAAAATGCAGAGAAAGAGAGCCTGAGGTGCCCAGCCCCCAATGACACCTCTACAACATAACCCCTACAATCAGGAAAGTCAGAGAAGAGGGTGCAGAAAATGAAGACAGAGGACTCCTTGTGCTGATACCGTGTTCTAGACGTTACAGGGAAGCTACACTTACAGAATCTTAAAATATGCTCGCCTAGAAAAGACCCGGATAATGACAACACCAGCTGACATCCCAACATGGATGTGGGGCAAGGGGTGGAGCTCAAAGCCCCCACTAGAGAAGAGCTACAGAGGAACAGCGGCTGTTGGGCGAGGAGAGTCAGCTTTCACCTGGGATGAGCTAGCTCCTGACAGGTTACCCAGTCCAAGTATATGAGCATCACTACATGGATTCAGTAGAGCATGTGAATATGCATACGTGTGTGCACGCACACATACGGGTAACAATAATAATTAAAGAAGAGGTCATGAATTTGAGAGGACGTGGGGGGACATGGGAGGATTTGGAGAGGGGAGAAGGTGGTTCGGAAATGGTGTGACTACAGTGCTCGTGTGAAATTCTCAAAGACACAAGTCTCTAACAAAGACAGGCTCTAAAGGCAGACTAAAGCAGTCAACACTTAGCCACAGCCCCATTCAGGGAACACTGAGGCCAGGCATTACAAGCACAATTGAGCAAGACCTTTCCTGCCCCTTACAATGGCGCACCCCAGATACTGAGAAGAAGTGAAGTACAAGAATAGAGACCCATTCATTGTAGGGCTGTAGAACTCTGGGAGTACTTTCTCACTCACTTTGTTGACCTGTTTAGGATTTACGGAGCACCTGTTGGTACACTGGTCAAGTGTTCACCTTGCACCAAGGTACATTTTACCATGTCATTTGTTCACTTGTCCTACCTGGAAAACTGTTATTAGTGAAGTATTTTGATAAATGTATAACCAATAAAATACAGAAATATTTTTTACAAAAAATACTTTTTACAAAAACAGAGAAAGACAGAAGCTCAGAACCTCAGGGTTGGTGGCAAAGCTACTTTACCTGCTGAGGCACTTCATCAGCCTCATTGAATTTTCTTGGTGTCGTAGTGAAAATTAACTGACCATTATTATGTTTGGGCTTCTCTGTGGGCTCTCTATTCTATTTCACTGGTCTGTGTTTTCATTGGGTTTTTCAGTATTAGGAATTGAATCCGGGGCCTTCCAAATGCTAAGCAATTACTCTCCCACTGAGCTACACCTCCAGCCCTTTTAAATTTTATTTTGAGACAAGAGTCATATTAATTTGCATAGACTAACCTTGACCCTGTGATTCTTTTGCCTCTGCCTCCATAACAGCTACAGTTACAGGCATGTGCCATCACAACCAGCACTATCTGTTTCTGTTCATTACTGTAGCTTCATAATATAACTTTAAATTAGGATGTTGTATCTTTAATTTTTTGTTGTCTCAATTGATGTGGGTACTTAAGGCTTTGTGTTTCTGAATAAATTTTAGGTTCCTTTTAAATTTCTGTGAAAGTGCTGTTGGATTATAGAGATCATATTGAATATCTATATTGCTTTTATTCTTGGTATTTCAACAATATTTATTCTTCAAGTTCACAAGCAGAAGATATCTTTCCATTTATTTGTGTCTTCCTCAATTATTTATTTTCATCACTTAATATGCCCAGTGGCAGATGAATAAATAACCGTTCCCCCTCATACACCCACACATACATGCACACACATGCACAAAGACAGACTCCACATAAGTGGAAAGGTGATTTAGAAACCAAAATCTCCATGAAAGGCTCCAAGTTTTAAAAGTTCTCGGTGGCCTGGGACAGACTCTCCTCTCCTCATTTTGAGTAGACTGACTCGCAAAGCCCCTCTTGTGCCTACCTGAGACACAGCTTGAAGGTAGGTAAGCTGGAAGGGGGCTCTGGGCGAGGGACACTTCTGCAAATCTTCTACTTTGTTTACTTATAGCCTCCTTCTCAAGCTTTCTGCCTGTCTCATATTCCCTGATAGTGAGACCCTGCACCCCAAATAACAACAACAACAATAATAATATAATGCCTGCTCCATGTTCTATCTGTTAAAAAAACTTACCTATGGTAGCGGAAAGCAAATTAGTCATTGCATGGAGTCTAGGAGGAGAGACTGTGGACAGTGATGGGTGTGAGAAATGACAAGAGGAAGACTACCAATGGTCATGAGGGAGATTTGTGGTGATGATGTCATGGGTATGTACATACGACAATGTCATGGGCCGGTACATATGTCAATCTTAGCAAATTATGTACTTTATATGTAGGATTTGGGTCAGGGGTATATCTTAGTGGCTGAGTATGAGGCCTAGCATGTATGAAGCCTTGTATTTCACACTCAGCATCATACCGCCAAAGTATATGACTTATTTCATGTATGTCAGTCTACCAAAACCAAACCAAAACAAAAAAGCTTTTAAAAAGAATATGGAACAAATTTGACAAAAAACATTATAAAATCTTAATGGTGAGCATATTAAAAATACGTTTCTTCATGCTTTTCTATGTAATATTTTATAATTTCATTTAGAAAATAAAATTAAACCCCTGATATTACAGCTAAAAAAATTATAAATAATAAAGTAATGAAGAAGTAGCCTCTCAGAATATTATTTTAATTCTATCAAGAAAAAGAAGCATAATTTGCATATGTATTTTAAAAAGATTTGCTTACCCTTAAATTTATTCATTGTACCAATGTTGTGAAGAATTCTTCTTGGACTGTTTGCTGCAAAACAAGCTGCCTCCTCATATGCATGAAGGGAGATTAATTCGTTGAACCTACAGCCATTGAATTTTTAAACACATTACAATGATACATAAAACCCAAATATTGGAAATTAAGCATAATGTTATAATGGAAAACAAAAAGTAATCCAGTAAGTTAAAACGAAATGTATTCATTATGATGTTCAGTTTTTCTCTAGAATTCTAGAGTTTGTTTTCACCCATTTGTCTCAGTGTTAAGTTCTTATCTTCTAAGTAACTGCCCTCACCCCGTCTCAGATGGGGTTTTTCTGTGTAACCTTAGCTGTTCTCGAGCCTAATCTGTAACGCACTGCCCAGAGTGTTTTTAATGATTTATTTGTTTTAAGTTATGTGCACTGGTGTTTTGCCTGTATTTAGAGTGTCAGGTTCCCTGGAACTGGAGATAATAGACAACTGTGAGCTGCCATGTGGGTGCTGGGAATTGAACCTGGGTCCTCTGGAAGAGCAGCCAGTGCTCTTAACCTCTGAGCCATTTCTCCGGCCCTTCTGAGTAACTTTGAACCTGACCCTGTACTTTGCCCCCCCACAGGCCTCACACAGAAAATAGGAAGGAAGAACATAAGTGAATTTGTACTAAGCTGGAACTTTTTTCCTCCCAGATCATAGAAAGAGTTATCTGCTTAGAAATTTGGCCTAGGGGAAGTAACAGAACACAGAATCAGCCCAGCTACAGTACCAAGAGGTATTTCTGATATTCAGAAGCCAATATTGGTCTGTCAGGTACCAAATTCCTCATCACCACAAGCAGAGACAATAATTTCTGTAATCCTCTACTCTTCCTCCTTCACACAACAAAGCTCCCAAATTATTCCTTAGGAAAAGAAGAGTCATATAGCATCACAAAAAAGTAGAAAAAAACGCCAAAGTAACATTAAGCAAAACGTATAAGACTTTGAATCTCAACAAAGGTTTTCCTCTCCTATGAACATTGGTAGCTGAAGTATGCTGGAGAAATGGCTTTGTGAAGTGCTTGCCATTCAGAATTTTGAACTTGAGTTATCTTTTTGAAATACAAATGCAAATTATACTTCTTTTTCTTGATAGAACAAAAATAGTATTCTGAGAGGCTATTTCTTCACTGCCCCTATCTTTATTATTTATTATTTTTTAACTGTAATATCAAGGGTTTAATTTTATTTTCTAAATGAAATTATGAAATATTACATACATGGAAAAGTGGCATATGCTTCCTCTGACTGTTCTCCCTACCCCATTTTACAAAATAAAATGTAATTAAAAATTAAAAGTATACATAATACAAGTACCTTAATGTTTCATAGAATAAAAATAATTACAAAAAGAGATTGAAATAGGTAGGGTAATCAAAAAGTTTTTTGAAAAAAATTCATAGATTTTCATAGAAATTTATGAAAAAAAAAGGAATTTCTAATGTTTTTCCCTAATCTGTCAATCTAGAACAGAATTTCCAAACCACAAGAGACTAACCTAAAAGCCAACACTCAGGAGGTAGGCAATATGAGGATCAGGAGTTCAAGGTCACCCTGCACTACACAGTGAGGCTTTTTGGGTTGAGATGTCATCTCAAAATAAGCACATAAACAAAAATAAAGGCAACAACAAAAACCTTCTCAAAACAAACAAACAAACAAATCCAAAATATAAATGATATTTACCTTTCAATATAGTAAAGCATAACTAGAGCTTCTTTTGTCTTGTTTGGGTCATCTTCAAATACCTCATCAACAACGTTTTCATCACCTAAATAATGAAAGCACAAATTGTAATGATAGGTCTGGCTGTATAGATAATAAGCATGTTTAGAGCCAATAATAGATTTTACTCTGGACTAAAACAGCACCAGTCTCTTCTTAAAGTGAGTCATTTTCCCTCCGTGGCCTCATTCTTAGGAATACCCTCAGGCTGGTTTGTTTCCCTTCTCTCTCTTTCTTAAAAAGTTACTTAAATTTCATATGCAATGGTGCTTTGCCTGGATGTATGTCTATGAGAGTGTCATGACCTGGAACTGGAGTTACAGCCAATTGTGAGGTGCTACATGGGTGCTGGGTGCTGAGAAGTGAACTCTTAACTGATGAGCCATCCTCATCCCGTTTCTCTCTGTCTCACTAGGTCTATTCTTTCACCAAGCATCTGTCAGGTGCTGAAGAAAGAAACCCTTCGGAAAAGAGAGAGCTAGAGAAGGAAGTATGTTTTTGCTTACATTTTTTAAATTCAGCCTAGGAAAACCTTAGCTCTGGGGGAGAGTGCCTTCTACTGTTCATGCTAATTAAAGACACAGATAAACTACCAGAGATAACTGTGGTGTTCTGAATTTTCTCCATGATTTCTTGAAATGGAATTCTCATGTTATACTTCATCCATGTAGTAAGTATGTGTGAAATAACCTGCAGTTTTTGATGGCTGTAAAAGAAGAGCATCAACAACACACTGAGCTGGGATCACACGGCTGAGTGAGTGAACATAAGCAAAGCCTTCAAAACAGGCAATAACCAATGTTCATACCGAAACTGCAGGTCTTGGTTCACACTTTCAGCTGCATCTCGTCGTTCTAGTAACACAATCATTTCCTCATCTAGATACTCCTTCTTTTGGGCTGGTACATACATTACTGACATATCTTGTTTAAGTTTTTTATGTCTGTCTTCAAGATGTTGCTTATACTTATTGAGAGCTTCCAAATTGACAGATTCTTGGAGAGTCATCCCTACAGGAAAACAAAAACAAAACAAAAACCTCTGAGTCTCATGTAGGATTGTTTACTGTATTATAAAATAATTCAGAGATGTTAAGAGGTCCTTGTAGTTGACTGAACATAAATACAATTATCACAAAATTGTAGTGCTAATAGTCTTTTTTTTTTTTTTAAGATTTATTTATTAGGTATATAGTGTTCTGCCTTTATGTACCCTTGCACATCAGAAGAGGGCACCAGATCTCATTATAGATGGTTGTGAGCCACCATGTGGGTGCTGGGAATTGAACTCAGGACCTTTGGAAGAGCAGCCAGTGCTCTTAACCTCTGAGCCATCTCTCTAGCCCCGCTAATAGTCTTGTGTGTGTGTGTTTACATCTATTTATTTGTTTTATTGTGGTGCTGAGACCCTGGCCTTATACAAATTAGGCAAATTCTCAAACTGCTGCTGAGTTTTATATAGCACCAAGGACAGTTCAGTGAAGCCTGCGTCTTTGCGAGAGCATCCAATGATTGAGGAACTGATGCCTATCAAATCTTGAGTTGTCTCTTACTCTTGAAATGTCCCTTATGTTTACTACACACCCTCTGTGAGTTCAAGATCAGCCTGGTCTCATAGAGAGTTCCAGGACAGCCAGGTTACACAGGGAGAATTCATCTTTTGTTGTTGTTTTGTTTTTGAGACAGGGTCTCTCTGTGTAGCCTTAGCTGTGCTGGGGCTCACTCTGTAGACCAGGCTGGTCTCAAACTCTGAAATCCACTTGTCTCTGCCTGCTGAGTGCTGGGATTAAATGCATGTGCTACCACTGCCTGGGTAGAATCCATCTTTGAAAAAAAAAAAAAAGACACATTTAAAGGGTTGGAGAGATGGTTCATTAGCTAAGAGTACTGGCTCTACTAACATAATAGTGGGTTCAATTCCCAGCACCCACATTGTGCTCACAACTGTCTGTAACTCCAGTTCTAGGGGATCTGATGCCCTCTTCTGACCTACATGGGCACTGGGCACGCATGTGGTGCACAGACATACATGAAAACAAAACATCCATACACCTAACATTAGAAAATAATAAAAACTAAAACATAAAAAAGACACACATCCAAACACACACACCCTAGACTTTCCCCACCCTCAGGGTTAACCTTTTCGATTGTAAGCATTCCCTCCCTCCCTCCCTCCCGCTGAATCTTCTCGGCAGTGAGCCAAAACACTATGTATCCTGTGTTTATTCACATTTATTATTTGAAGTTTGCTAGTCACAATTTTGCATTTAAAAGTAAATATAATCCCTACTATTACCAAATGCAAGAGAATTCAACGTCCTGAGTCTTGGAATTTTGTCGTAGAGAGTAGTCATCACCTCAAAGCACACTTTTTCAACCTAGGCCAAGTCTGTCTTGACGCTTCCACCTACTGGTTCACGGTCTTTGGACAGACACTGAGCCTTTAAGGACTGAAGTTACTGACTTCAAATTACTATCCTCAGTCTTGTAAGTCAAAGTCTGTTCATCATATTAATCTCTGAGTCCTACATGAAGCTAGTATATACTTCATTTCTCAAATATAGCAAGATACATTATACATATATATATGTATATACATTATACAAGATCTATACATTAAAGTCATGAAACCAGTCAACACTGACATCACCACGAACAACACTCAGCAAACTTGATGAACTACAATTGTTAATATACCAGTGACTCTCAGGTTTTAGAGTGTACCAGAATAACCAGAATGTCAAGAGAACACCAGCCACTGGGCTCAGTCAGCAAGTCTCTAACATAGTTAAGTCTGAGATAGGACCCACAACTGTGTGTTTGTGTGCACGGGCATACCTGAGTAGCCGTATATACACATGTGTAGATGCATGGTTTACCAGGGGCCTTTTCAAGCCAATGAGCTGCAGGGACCCACTTGCTTGCACTGTCCCTCTGCCCCCAGCGATGGACCACTGGGTAGACACTGGCTTTTCATAGGGAGGGTCTGAGCCTTGAGTCTGCACGGCAAGCGCTTGACTGACTAGCCTCATCAGCCTCAAGTCTTACATTTTGCAAACATGTGTCCTTCCTCACTGCCTATTGGCTGTAATGAGGGGTTGACAGTCAGTACCTAGGCAGGAAGCGGAGGGCGGGCGGATCTTCTA